ATTATTTACTTAGTATCTTTCTTCTTGTGAACTATAATAGCCTTAAAATTACGTTTTCTGCTATAGATTCAATGAAGTATTTTTAAATGCATTTTTATTTTTTAATATGGACCTAAAATCAAATTTGAGAGACACTGATAGATAGATCTATTTCTTTGTCTCTAGATTGTCACATTTATGAAGGCAGTGGTGAACAGTAGTTGATTATTATCTTTATGTCTACCAGATATTATTCATACTGACTAAGCTACATTTATAGGTTACAGTTTTTTAAAAACTCCTACTATTACGTAGGAGGTAAGATAAAGATTCTCCTTTTTGATAAAGACGATCATAAAGGTGTTTTTAATTGAGAATCTATACTGAGTCTTAATAATATGTCCCACAACATGTTCTATTCTTTATCTGCAAGTGGGAGCTGTCCAGTAATTCGAAACACAGGATACAGTGACCTCTAGAGTATTACATCATCAATAATCCAATATTTTTTCCTTGAGAAGTTAGCCTTTGCCTGGGTTATTTAGACTTGGGGCTTTTTAGAGAGGAAGAGTGACATTATTTGTTCCACATCTGAAACTGGTTTCTGTCTGCCTGAGACATCAAAATCCCTTTTGTCCATGAGTGAATTGGAAATAAATCTGGGTGATGAACCTGATAGCTACATCATTGCACAGGAAATTTTTATGAAAGTGCCCTATTATGTCATTTTTTGCCAGATGAGAAGGAAAAATAGTCATCATTGCTTCTTCCTCGTGGGTAATAGAAATGTTTTTTTTCTATTAAGAAAAATTGCAGTACCAGAGAAGATGACTTAACTGTCCCCCCACCCTGTTGCTGACCATGAATCTTTACTTCCTAGTGTACTGAACTTCCTTTTCCTGTAGTCATTGCCTTTATGAAATTTTTAAATGACTTTAATATTTCAATCAAGCTTGAAGAATTATATGTATGCTACTATCCTTTAAGAGTAAACCCACTGACAATACTTCCTACTAATACCCTCTTTGTGATTAGTTTCAATAGAATGTGTGTAGAGTGCTATAGTACAGGAAGCCAGAGAAAACTCTAATAGGAATCCTGAATTTAGGACATTCATTTCATTTTTATCTTAAGCAGGTTGGCTAAGCTCAGTGAGCTAGTCACCTCATTGTAAAATAAGATGATGTGAGTTATGGTGTCAGGATAATGTAAAGATGATATATTTAAGACATTAGAAGATAATAAATAATAAACATTATGTAGCAGATAGCTAATGCAGTGTTGGTGGGGGGGATCATGGTTTGGGAGCCACTAAGTTCTTTTAGGAGAGGATTATTAATTGTACAAGTCACTTCTCATTCCTGAGCCTTCTTTCTCCTCCATATAATGGGTAAAGTTTGCCCTTATTGTGATAAGGAATGTACAGTCCTCGTCCCACCAGTGTCAACAATATAACAAGTTTCCACCGAGCTTGTATAGTAAGTGTTCAGTGATTTCCTTCTTTACATATCTGGCTTATCCATGATTATTTTCTTTCCTTCCAGGTTTTTCATATGGATTTTATTACTACTTTTATAACATTTTTGGGCTAAGGACAACCACAAGTTCAAAGTGCACCTCACATGCCACAGTTTCCCTCTTAAGAATCCCTTAACATATGAGTAGGAAGCATTTTTAAAGGTCACCCATAGTTTATTGTTTGTTGTTCTTTTTTCCTTTAATTCAATAGAAAAGTCCAAGGCAAGGTAAAATGAACCTGCTGGCCAATCTGTTGCTGCAAGAAAACAATTTTCTGTGAAGGAGACAGTATAATTTTCCCCTGAGCTTGAGAGATGGAAAGTTTGTTATTATTCTCTGCCAGTTGGTTAAAGCAGTGTGTTGAAGGCAGGTAGTTCTAGGTTTAAACTGAAGCTTTATCACTTTGCATGTTTATAATTTTTGTTATTTTTATGGTGCTTCTCATTTTTTTCTGTAAAGTCCAGGTAGTGACATTCCCTAATAATTGGTGAGATGCATATGTAAAACAGCTAATATAAAGGTTAAAAACAGATTTTTAACTTGCACACATGCTATGAATATTTGACTTGTGACTGAGATGATGTGTTAGAACTACCATGAGGCTGAGAGCGAAAAAATTCTAAAAAAAGAAAAATATTTTCGACATGTCCAAATGTATAGAAAAAGACTAGTAGTAAACGTAAATCAGACATTTGTCCCATCACTTATTACTCCACTTCATACACCTACCTAATTTATGATTGCTGTTGACATCATTTGTTAAGATATATGGAATGATTATATGAAGTTTTATAAGACATAATGAATACCACACTACCAAGTAGGTTAGTTTCTATTAATTTTTTATGTTTGCCATGATTACATTCTATTACTTATTTAATAGCCCTTTAATATTTTCACATCTCATAAAATTTACAAACTTATGAGAAACTTACGAGTTCTTACTGAAGGACCTGACCCATTCACTCATTATTTAGCAAATTAATAATTGATTTCAAATCAGGTATTAATAATGTTCAATTTCTGAAAAATGAAAAAAAGAATCACTGCTTTCTAAAGTGACTTTTAGATATTAAGTTAATTGGATTTTAGACTTCATAATAAAGATTTGAATTATAAAAGCACTCTGGATTTAAGGTCTTTTAATAATTTTTTTCTGTAAAGAAAAGCTGCTACTATTTCTAAGATTAGTTAATTATTTTATAAACAAGAAGTGGAGGGTGTATTAAATGCATTAGTTATGTAGTTTTCAAAATTTGACCTGTGATCTCCTAAACAACCAAAGTAGAATTTCAAATTGATTCCAAGTCGGACTCATAATGTGAGATCATTTTCCCTCAGGCCTTATAATCAATTTTATAGATAATTATTCAAACACAATTTATCATTAATTATTATAAAAACTTCAATATTGCAGTATTTCGGCACTCTTTCTGTTATGGAAATCATATTTAGTATTTTTTTTTTAGTATAAAAATGTTTACTTTTCCTAAGAAAACTTACATGTTGTATTTGGTAATATTTGTGCAACATATTCCTTGATAGTGTATCAGTTTTTATAGTAATACTAAAATAAAAACAAGAAAATTATATGAATCTTGGGAGATTTAGAAAAAAAATCAATTCGTAACTGGTCATTCTAACGACTAAAAGCCTATTTTGTGTATTGTATTGCAGTCTTTTACTTTTGCTTCAGTTTTTTTTGCCCTCAAAATGTATTTTTATTTATGAAAAAATACATAATCAAATAAGAGCATCACAATAGTTACTACACTGTGCATTGCAATCTTTAAAGTATCCACTGTGAACACAAAACATGATCAGGCTTTAAAATATCAGCATGTTTTATACTGTATGGGAGAATAGTTTCTCAACTATGATTTTTATGATAATATAGTTTAAGGATTACTCTTAAAATAGAAATGCATACATATACTTAAATAGATAACATAAATTTTTCTACACAGTACCCATTATTTATCACCAGTATTGTTTTACCAACCTGCCAAGTAAAGGACATACAAAAGGTTAGGAGACAAACTAGTATCATTCATCAGACATACTTACATTGACCTCACTAAGCTAATAAAAACAATATGATTTAGCAAATAATAAATGAGAGCAAGTTCTTTGAAGCAAAAAGCATACCTCCAATATGAGTGATACATTTAGGAAAAGCCTTTGCACCCCAAATGGAAAAAGGCTCTCATGTTTATAATTAACCTGTAAGGGTCTCTCTGGAAAATAGTGCAAGTTACCAGTCTGGTTCCTGGTTTGAGAATCTGGATATCATCTACATTTTCAGCTCTTAATAAACTATTTAAATTAAATTAATATATAACTTAAGTAGATCCTCATCTTACAGGTTTTTTTTATCATTAAATATTGTCCCATACTCCGTTTATAAGGGAGATGGGATGAAAATAAGCAGGCAACTGATTGCTTGGGCTTCATTTTCATTTTTATTCTCTTGCTGGACTCTTAGCAATATGCTAAATTTAGTAACTAAGATTGAATAATTTGAATGTAATGACTGGAGGCTGGAAGGTCTCAGACTAGCTTTGTATCCTGTCAAGCTGAATATGTTGGATAATTGTCATTTTCATCAGATTTTTCCAAATGAAACTGATCAATTTTATTTACTTATTAACACAAAATGCAAATGATTCTAGGAGTGTTATTTAATCCAAACCCATTTGTACCTTGTTCATTTAACCGTACTTAAATTTCTAAAAAAAAAAAAAAATAATAATAATAAATAAAACAGCAAAAGAATGTGAATACAGGGGCTGGAGATTTAGCTCAGTGGCATAAGCGCCTGCCTTGCAAGTAGGCAGTCATGAGTTCGATCCCTGGTACCGATAAAAAGGAAAAAGACAAAAAAAAAAAAAAAAGAATATGAATACAAAGGAATAAATGATTATACAGAAAAATCAACTTATCCCAGAGAAAACTAATAGCAACGAAGTGACTTGCAAATCAGAGGTCACTAGATTAAAAGTCAAAGCCATACTACTTTTCAAATGTTTAGCGTTTCCTATTGTATATTACTTTTGAATCACAAGGTTTTCCATCTATAAAGTGAAAATCATCGTAACATTTTTGGGAATCATTGTTCTAGTATCTGAAATCCTCCACTGTGTAAGCATAATGATGATACAGATTATGTTGCTAATGCTGTGAGACAGTAGTGACCTTGAGGTTCTGTGCTAGATTATGTAATAATTTTAAGTTTATGTTAACCAACACGTAAAGAACCAAACGTATGCATACTGATGGGTACCATGTGATGTTGTGGTGCACATAAATACTTGTGTAATATTTAAAGTAGGTTAAACATATATATCTCTTCAAACACTTCTCATTTCTTAAGAATGAAAATTATCAAAGTTCCTGTGGCTTTTGAACTGTAAGGTACAGCGATGACACCTGAAGTTATTCTATTGTGCAGCAGCACAGCAGAACTCATAGCCTCAGTTTGAGCCTAGCCCTTCTCTTCCCAGGTGAAGCCTACATGCGACTGAGCAAGCTCCCTGAAGCAGAGCATTGGTACATGGAGTCCCTGAGATCCAAGACGGACCACATCCCTGCCCATCTCACCTATGGGAAACTGCTGGCTCTCACAGTGAGTACCTCCTCTCTCACACCCAAAGACATTGATTTTCTCCATGCAGACTGGGATAGCAGGGATTTGAGATGCTGGTTGTGAACCAGTTAACTTAGGTAACAACCTGATGGTCGTGCTGATAGAACCCTGTAATTAAATACAGAAAAAGTATTTTACTTTGCATATGGAGTTTGGCCTGGGAAAAAATGCATTTTTTAATGAAAAATATAAATGGAGACTCCCAAGAGTGTGATTATAGTTGTCCTCATAGCAGTATTTGCATATATACTGTGTTCCACAAGCCAGTGTTATCCACAAATTGGCTATAATTTTAACTATGTCTGATTCTGAAGAATAATCCTGGAATTCCTTCTAATTCTAATTCAAATTGTTCTGTAAGGTAAGTGAAGCTATCACTTGGCCACCCATTCAATGGCAAATGCTCTTGGAAACCAGAGTTTCTCAAAAGTGAAACATAATTTAAAAAAAAAAATGTGAGACACAAATTGGTAATATTGTTTGTGATCTACACAGATATGTATTTAAAAGTGATATTAATGTCTCTATCTCATGCGTTAGGGGATAGTCAAAAACTAAACTTCCTGAGCCCACACTTTGATCCCAATATCTGTATACTTTGAGTTACACCACTGAATCAGTCTCCAGCATTAATAAGAAATAAATGAGCATTATCAAATCAGAGAACAAAATAAGAAGATACTTGAAGTTAATTCATTGATAAATATTTTTCAGAAAAATATTCTATGTGTTTATCTGTTGTCTTAGTTACTTTATGCTTGTTGCTGAGACAAAATACCTGATGCCCAAGTTCAGAAAGGAAAGGTTTATTTCTCACAGTTTTTGGAGGTTTCAGTCCACACTCAGTTGGCTCCAAGGCAGGCGGGTATGGCTGGACTGCCCTTCATGGCGGCTGCAAACAGCAAGCCCAGTGGCAAAGAGCAAGACACACCTTCTTCCCGCCATTACATCACATCCTGGCTCCACCCCTATGTGGGTGGAGCACTGACAGCATCAATCCAAGCACTAGACAATAAACCATCACAAATGAACAATGCAAACTCAAGAGGCCTGGGGGACACAGACATAAACCATGACTAAAATGCACTTAAAGAAATTTATGTTAGGCTAACCTGAGAACATCCCACTCAGAAATACTAGATTTGTCTAACAAACGTAGAAGGTGATACTTTCAGTGTTTAGCTGAGCTTGAAAGTTGGAAGAGAGTCCCCAGGAGCTAGCAATGAGGTAGTAAATAAAGACAGGGACATTGAGGAGTAAGTAAATTCCACAGCTCCTCTGGAGCATTTACCAGTTGTGGAAACCAGTAAAAAGTGGGGTTTGTTTGTTTTTTTTTATTTTTTTCTAGACTAGGAGACAAAACTTTGAGCCAATGCAAGGGCAAAACTAGTCGTTCAAATAAAGCTGAGGATTTCTGGCCCTTATTATCTGCATAACATAAAACAAGTTGGCCTGGGCCATGGAAAGAAGGCAGCAGGAATATACAGCCACTTCAGAATGGCATTTGCATGGAGGATGAGTGTGCTTTATGCTGTGAATTTGTCAATTCCATCCTGCCTTTGAAAACTTAGATTCTTTTGTGTTTTTCTTTTTCTTTTCTTTTTTAAATTTAGGTTTGATGTTGCTTACCATGATCAAGGAATCTTTTTTTTGTCTTTTTCCTTTTTTATCGGTACCAGGGGTCGAACTCAAGACCACCTGCTTGCAAGGCAGGTGGTTATGCTGCTGAGCTAAATCCCCAGCCCCGATCAGGAAATCTTTAGGCCAAGAAATTAAGTAAAGATCAGCCCATCAACAACCCTTCTGAAAATGTTTGTAAAAGAACACAAATCTAGCCTCTCTTGGTGACATATGGTTGTGCTCTAGCACTCCAGGAAGCTGAGGCCAGGATTTCAAATTCAGTACCAACCTGGACAACTTAGTGACTTAGTGAGATGAGCAAAATATGAGCAGGGGACAGTGGTGCTGGGATGTAGCTCACTGAAAAGCCCTTGGGTTTGATCCTTAGTACCAAGAGAAAACAAGAAAAGAAAAGAATACATTTAGTAGTAATTATGGTACCAAAAGAACAGTGGGCAAAGAAATTGATCATGTAAGTAAAGCAGAACATGCTTTCACAGAATACAATATCGAGGAAGAATGACTATAGAGAAACACCTAGAATAGGAGCACGTACTTCAGGGGATAAGATATTTGAAGGGGAAAAAAGATATTTAAAGGGATTTTTGAAAGCCATAAAGTCAAAGGAAATATTATAACTGATTTGTCAGAGGATAGGAAACCACAGTCTGAAGGCACTTTGCTTGGAATGGGATAACTAAATTATTCTAAGAAAAAGATTTCCATATATGTAAATTTGAACCTCCCCTGTGAATCAGTGGCTCCTTGTAGAAAGCCTGTCTGTGCTGTAGGACCTTCTCGCCACTTTTATTAATGCTGAACTATCAGTTGGCAACAGAAGATTGATATTTGTTAAGCTACAGGATGGAACTAGGATGTATGTTATTAGGAGAAGCAAGCCTGAAATCTTTTTTTAAAAGAATCATAATCCTTACAGATGGTACCATATAACATTTCAGATAACAAAGATAAAAAATTAAGATAATTTTATCTTTAAAGAGAAAAAGAAAAAGTTATGTCATTTTTTGAAAACAATTCCTATCCAGATCTATGGGAAGAAATAAGACTGAGATTTTATAGCAGTAAAACAGTTTTCACTGCAGGGCATGAGGATAAAGATGAGGAAATCTTAACTAACAAAAACCAGGGAAATAAAAAGCAGGAAAGAAGAAATTGTAAAAGAAATCAATATGGAGTCTTAACAAAAGGCAGGAGGGAAGAAATAATACTACTCACAATCAAAAGGTCTGTCCAAGTTGCTGTTTGTGCCATTTACCTAGTTTAATTCCATAGAAAAAATGTTATCTTTTAAAACCAGTTCATATCTTGATATGGCAATAATTCATACAACTTCACATAAAAATAGAATTCGCATACATCTTGCTCCAGGACTATTGGAGATTTTCTTGGGGAGTTCAAATGGAAATGTTTTGAGTTAGACTGCTAAGTGACCACCTTCAGAAATAACTATAAAAGTTTCAGATGCCCCATTCTCTCTCCCAAAGCTGGAAAAGAAAATTGAACCATAAATGTGCGTTATTCTGAATATGCTTAGACCATGACACTGGATATAGAAACCATGTGTCCTTAGTTTTTCTATTTGATTTTCAAGGCTGAATGTTTTAAACTTTCTGCACCAAAAATATGATTTTAAAGGCTGTTTTTTTTTTTTTTTTTCCTTTTCAGAATGCTTTTTAAAAAAAAAAGATTTATAAGTTGTACTTTGCTGGAACATATGGAAGGGAAGGAAAAACTCATGTAAATTTTTAAACAGCCCCCTCCCAAAGACTTTTATAGTTTCCGACTTGCTGATTAGATGAAATACAAACTCCTTTATGGTATAGCTTACACGCACAATGCCAAAGCCCTGTAACCATCTTTAACAGTTTCTTTCTAAATTATAAGATTTGGCAAATTTCTGATCCCACTGGATTGGCTTTGTGTAATTGTGGGTTTGTTACCCTGGTAATATGCCATTGCTTAGCATAAAATTGACAAGGTGGAAAATGTCACAGATTTTGACTTACGGATGTTTAAAATATATTGTAAAATGGAATCAGTTCTTAGTCTCCAGAAAAAAAGTTTATCTTTTTGTCAAAACTGACCAAAGGCAAACTATGTAAAAAAAGCATGAAATGATACTAAAGTTAGACCTTATGGTAATATATTTTGCATAAGAATTCTAGGAAGAAGTTGATTATTAAGGCTTTTGTTACAGTCAGTGGCATGAGCCTCTCAATACCTTTTTAAAAATTGTTTTGCAAGTTCTTCTTTAAGAATTCATGTAATATTTATAGTATTTAGAAAAGTTTAAAAGGATGTAAGCTTTCCCACAATGCTTTCGCACATTCTATAGATCACACACTTTCTATTCCTTTGCCAAAAATGTCCTTTTCCTCTCTCTGCTGTTGAAATGTTATTTCCTCCGTGAAGCCTTGCCTGGCTGTCTCACGCATTTTTTCCCTCTTTGTGTGTACTTCCTTAGCGCTGGTCTCAGGATGTCTATAAGAGTACTTCCCCATTCAGTGATGTCCATAAATCTGTGCCTGTCTTTTCATACCAGACTTGTGACTAGGGAATAGTCTTTACTTATCCTTTTATTTCTTTATCTCACGTTATTTCACTGTCTTGGTAAAATCCCTGTATCCTTGTGTTTTACTCTGTTTTAAGTTACTTATGTTTGGAAGCAAGATTAGTATTTTTATTTCGCTAGCCTGATTCTCATCTTTACCCCTTCATCTTGCCAACACATGTATTTAGACTTACTCCTCCATGCTGAGCATTATTTTAATCCCTAACGATCTAAGCCGAATTCCTGAATGAGAGGGACTTGACTGTAAAACAGACATAGGGTAGTTTCACAGATCACCTGAAGGAGAGGTAGACATGGGTGCCATGTTTATCTCTTGAGTCTGTTATGGATGTGTTAATTCTTAGCTGCTCTAAACCCTTGGGAAATATTGTTTCCTTTTAAAAATTTCTTTTAAAAAAAGTGAGGGTCAGAGATTTACAGAACATCTGAAAATTCACTTAGCAATTAAATAGTAGAACTAAATGACAACCTTAAATTTTCCTGAATTGTGTCATTCATTTTCATCTATGTTTAATAATATTAAATGTGGAATATATTTCCTGATTGAACTGCCTAGAGATTCTTAAAGGTAACTCGCCATCCTGCTCTCCCAATTCTTTATACCTTATTTTTAAATATTGCCATTAAATATTTGTTTGGTTTGACTAGTTAAACATATTTTTATTATTAGGTATAACAGGTCATGAACATGAAACTTCAGTTTTAGGCTATTGACTTTGTTAGATCTACATTATACCTGTAATACAAATTTTCCATGGTACCCCAG